GAAGGTGATGTTATGTCAATATTATTTTACGTATTTATAATATAATGAATTTGATTTTACCTTATATACAATAATAACAAAAATTTAATTTATATAATTTATAATAAATAATATATAAAATATATATATAATAAATAAAATATGAATATAAAAAATTTTTAATTTATAATAATTTATATAATTTAAATAACAATAAATAAAGGACAAAGTAAGAATCAAACACATAATTTAAATAGTCATATAATTAAAAGAAATAAATTACAATTAAAGAAAAGTAAAATTGAAAAAAATATATAATAAAAAAACTCAGTTTAAATACAAATATTACAAGTTTCGGCTACTGGATTGAGACATTAACTCATCGAAAAAAATCGCAGTATAAATTAATTATCGTAAATGTTCGCATATTCATTATATTCACAGTTCGGATAAGTCTTGATGTAGAATTCGGCATTATTCACGTACGATTAAATAATCAAATGTATTTCATATCTCTTGGAAAAAGTTTTAGTTGATAAAAAAATAAAAAGACTTCTTACGAAAAAATAAACACAATTAAATTAACATACCGGAATTCTAACAAGTAATTAAAACTCACCAAAAATTATGTGTAAATTATTCAAACAAGTGTCTATATAAGTATAAAAAACCAATTAAAATGTACAAAGTTTAATGGAACGCAAATGTGTAAGACGGACATTGTATGACGATTATAATGTACGCTCGCTGATACGGATCAACACGGACTGAGAGAAGAGACTGTCAGTAACGAAGAGTCAAACTTTATTTATTTACAATAGGTATATATGCTTTATGAAGACACTTTCAGTGTCAGTTTGCAAATTTAAACTATTTTCTACTTTTTAATATCGAGCATCTCAGAAATTAAATGTTTTCTGTAGCAAGGCTCTTCATTCAAAATTTTAACAATGTCCCATTGGAAATCATGATCATACTGCAGCCTGTGCTCCATTATGACAGAACGGACAGAAGTGTTATGTCTAATATGATTACGATGTTCTGTAATTCTGGTTTTCAATTGTTTGTTCAATGTATGACGCATCACAATTATTACACGAAATCTTATAAACTATATTGCTTTTAGATGTATGGGGACAAATATCCTTTTGTACTTTAATATATTTACTCATTTTATTAGGACTATATAATTTACAATTATATTATATAATTTAAATTTATAACAATTTAGAAACAAATGAAAATTTCTGCATCCTTTTTTTATGAAACTATTTGTGCACGTTTTTACTTGATACATATAATATTCATTTTCGCGAAATGTAACTTTGTGTCACTTCAAAGTTACTGTTGAAAACAATCATTGCATTCAAGTTTATTTAAATTATTTGAAATGACTAGATTTAGAGTTGTTTAAGTTGCTGAGTTGGTCATAAAAATAAGATCAAAAGGAAGCTTCAGATTTAAATAGATTGATCTATAGATTATCTATGTGATATTTTTTTTATTTTCCCTTTTTTCTTTGCGACCATAGTGAGCACATCATCGCTGATTGATATTAATATTATTGTAATTTCTTTGTTAATACCAATAATTTGTAAGATCCAGAGCGATGTATGGATGATTGAGTCTGTATCTACTTTGAGCGAAGTATCAGATTGATTATTGTGTAAATGTGTGATATTAGATATCGTTTATTATTACTCTATATTCTTATTCAGAGTGATATGTAAGAATATGAGTGATAGAAACTGATTTATTGCATTAATTGAGTTATTCAATGTTAATGTTTTTTTTTAATGTAGAGTCGATTTCAATAAACATAATAGGTTCGGCAATGTAAATCTGAAATGCGAGATGGCAAGCTTGATCACGTGATCTTCGAGTAATCCGGGTGCCAAGAATTAATTCCGAACGATACAGAGCTGTAAAACTGTCCATTAAGGTTAGATTATAAAATAAAATTGTTTATTTTTATGAAATAAATAAAAATATCCTATTAATTGAAAATATCTTCCGTTTTACTAAAAATTGATAATAATCTTATATATTAAAAATAGATCGTTACACATAAATGTAGCAGACTCGTACACAAGGTGTGTTTTCTGGGAAAGCTCCTGTTGAACACATGCGTCGCTAATTGGCCAATTTAAAAATAAAATATTCTCATTGATAAAACAGTAAAAAATTACTAGGCATATTATTAGCTGATATGAGTGATGTGTGCAATCGAGATTGTAGGCAAACGGGATTATTTGCAATGTAGTATTTTCTTTTAAGAAAATACTACATTGCAAATAAATTTTAGCAATTTGAAATTTATAAGTTATCACTTGATTTATATTCGTTAAAGTCTTTAATATTAATACAGTTTGATTTTATTTCATTCTATATGTACAAAAAAACAC